CTCCTGGAGACGTGCCGCGCACATCATTCCGAGACGTGCGCCCGAGATCGGCTCGATCCAATCGTACCGTTGACTGATCGATCGATCGATCGATCGATGGATCGACCGACCGACCGACCGACCGAACAATCGATTTACCGGTTGTCGGCTGACCAGTAAGAAGGATTTCTCGATCGCGTTCGTTCGATCGTTCCCCAGTTGACTTCACCTAGATTAGCTCATCTTCATCTGTTTCTCTGTTCTTCTGCCACCTTTCTTTTTTTTTATTATTTATCTTTTTTTTTTCTCTTTTTTCGTGCTACGAGAGGAACTTTGGAGAGCGCGCATCTTCACGGCGCGCGCTGCGCGGGATTCGCGTTACAAAAATAATAGGCGAATCAGGGGCGGGGGCCAGGGGGCAGGGAAGCAGTGGAGGGTGGTTGTGTGTGATGGCGGTGCATAAACGACGAAATTAAGAGAGAGAACCAATGATCGTCCGCCGTCCGCGCCTGAGTAATGTGCCTCCCTTTCCTGCCCCCCCTCCTACCGCCACGGGGCAAATACCCCCGACGGGGTGCACCACTGAGATGGACACCCGTGCCTGCCCGTTCATCGCCGGTTAGGAACATTGGCTCGTTCACTGCGACGTCCTCGGGTCCGACCTCCTCCAAGCGACGTCCATAGGTTCTCATATCTCCCTCCTTTTGCCCGTCTTCGATATCTTCATTTTGCACAGTCTCTTTCTATTGTTATTCGGTGCCATTTTCTGTACAACTTCCATGATTCGTGAGAGAAATCGTAGGCCGACCCCCGCGTTTAACGTGCACCGGCGAGGGCAGTGACTTCCTGCACCAGTTTCTGCCTCTTAGCGTCGGGCCCATTGTTGTTGTCCTGACCATTGGCCCTGTCACCGGTCTGTGGCTGACCGGTCGTGCTTTCAGCGGCCGCACGAGCAGCCAATAGGGTAATCTGATTGACGACGTCCTCCATCTCGTCGGTGAGCGGATTCGTTTCCTCGCCGGATTGCGCACCGCCATCGTACTGTTGCTGCTGCTGCTGTTGTTGCTGCTGCTGCTGCTGCTGCTGCTGGCGTTCTTGAGCGGCCTCAAGACGCGCGCGATGCTGCAACGTCTCGGCGTGACGGCGCCATTCGCTCACGGTGGTGTACGTGCGCGTTGGCACGCCGTGCTCGCACAACGAGCAGGCGTAACGCGCCTGCACGAGGCGCAGGGCGCCGCGACGCTGCTGATTGCCCAGGTAGCAGGACCGCTGGTGCGCCAGCAAGGACGACTCCTGCGGATACGCGCGGCCGCAACGACGACAGACCAGGCACAGCTCGGTCTCCACCTCGCGACAGTGTTGAGGCGGCCCGTTCTCGTCGGTGCCGCATGGCGAGGTCGGCAAACGGACCGTCTCCAGCCCCGGATGATTCGGATCCTGCTGCAGGAACGCCTGCATCAGGGCCCGTGGCACCTGTACCTGTGCGCCACCTTCCACGTGCAGCGGCATCATAGCGCTTCCGAGTAGACCTCCGCTCAAGCCCGCAGCCGCTACTGAAAGCAAATCGTGATCGGTTCTCGTTAGAACAGACGCGAGACTTATGCTAACACAACACTTGTGTAACGCACGAATCCGTTATCTTTGATTGCTGCGTCAGTCCAGTTTCGCGCGTATCGCGCCAAAATCGCTTTTTATCACAGCACCCACATCGTCTCGGAACTGGAATCACCGCTCTCAAAGTAATTGACTCGTTTTACGCACACATCATCAATACAATTCCGATATCACGGCGCTAGTCTTAATATTTCTCAGCCTTCGTAAGGTGAAAGCAATTTACGAAAGGAAGGGATAACTTGTCTGTAAGTATCGATATAAAGAAAATGTAAGATTTTCAAAATTATCTACAAGGGGAGAAGGGGGAAAGCGGGGCTAGATGGCATATTTGTAATTGATTTGTGCCAACTTAGTTGTCATAATAGCATCCGCGCTGTAAACCGGGGGAGAATTTATGCGGAACCTGTTTTCGCCCGAGCGAGACAGGTAAATTGGTAGTTATTAGCAGGCCCGCGGGCCGATGCGCATTGACGGGATAATTCCTGCGGCCTGCGTCTCGAGGGGCCGGAGGATAGTCCGATAGTCCGTGGTCCGCGTGTGGAGCATCGTGGAGCTCCCGATATGCCTCGGCCGGATGATTAATTCTAATTTCAGGATCGCGCGCCGCGGGATGTTATTCCCGCTCTTCCCGTTTCTTTCTTTTCTTTCATTGTTCGGACGGAACGTTGTTCGTCGGAGGTAGCGATAGGGAAGCGATGGGAAAGCGTGAAACGCGCCGGCGAACGGTGGTCCACGTCGCTGACGTTTAGTCGGATGCGTGATGCAACGCGTGCGCGGTCGCGAGGACCGGAGGAAGGACGCGGCGCGTCGACGTCGATTAGGCGAGTTGACAGGTTTACGCAGTGACGGGCGCTGCTATATCGCGCGTATCGTGTATCAGATGAGGAGTCGTTACGAGGCAGGAAGTGTTAATGATACCCCTGCTCATTCACTGGACGCTCGGCTGTAATTATCAGAGCTGGTGGGAGAAAGACGAGGAGGGCGAGGAGAGCGACGAGAGGGACGAGAGAGAGAGAGAGAGAGAGAGAGAGAGAGAGCTCTATCTTTCTTTCCTTCTCCATTCCACCGGTTCGTCTCTCAACGTCGGCGTGGAATTGATAGTTATTAGACGACGGGATCGGTCGTGTTAGGACCCGGTTCCGTTCCTTCTTTGTCGTCTAATGAGAATCCCTGGCAATCCACTGTTTGACTAACACTTCTCTTCTCTCTATCTCTCTGTCCCCTCTCTCTCTCTTTCTCTCTCGGCCTCCCTTGCTTCCTTCGCTCTCGCGTATCTCGCGCTCACGTGGATTATGGTTTACCTTGATCGGGCGAGCAAATAATCCGCGTTTTTATGTTCAGCCATCGAAAGAGCCCTTCTTGGAAAGAGGAGGCACGGCCATGTGCAGTAAAGAAGGGAGAAAAGTGTTACGGATAAATAGGGGATTAACGCAACAACATTGGATACGGTGTATAGTTCTGGTCGCTCGTCTGCTCCCTTTACGGCCCCGTAGCGTTCACGGGAATGTGGCAAATTCATTACCGCCGGTCTATGGACTCGCTTGTCCACGGTGTCGGAGGCAGCTCGCTCTTCTTGTTTGACATAATCGGCTGAATAATGATCATCGAACGCTCACGTCGCAAATAACATGTACGTGGCGAACGTTATTGTGGATTTAAAATAACGTTAACGTTCGAACGGGACGCACAAAAAAAATTATGAAAGAGCCATCGCTCAAGCTCAATTTAATCCACGAATGAATGATGGTAGATTTGTTTTGCGAGATTTATTGAATAATTTCTTTTTTTAAACTTTCTAAGATAACGACAGAATGATTTTGCAGCTGTTTGTTATCGCGTCATCGATACGTGCGAGTACTCGATACGAGTATCTGCACAGATTTTTATATATCCAGAAAAAAATGTTACCATCTTTTATCGATTAAAAGTTATCAAACTGATAAATTTATACCTCCCTCGTAAGGAAGCTTCAGAGCGCACTTTAGAGAATTCTAAAAATACTCTCGATGAATCATCTTTAATCTCGCGATTGAGTTATCCAGGATTCGTGAACAATGACGTTTTTTATGATTTCGTTGAACTCTGTACGACATAACTCAGTCAGAGGAAACGCGAGTTACCGAACGACGTGATTTCTTTAGCCTTATAGACTTCCTCCTTCGTCGTTGGCCCTCAGCTGCGCGAGTTGCCCAGCGAAGATATACAATATAATAAGGAAGATCGTTAAATATATAACACGCAGAGAGAGAGAGAGAGAGAGAGAGAGAGAGAGAGAGAGAGAGAGAGAGAGAGAGAGAGAGAGAGAGAGAGAGAGAGGAGAGGAGAGG